TCGTGGTGGCATGATCAGGGAAGATATCCTGACACAGTAGCATCTGGGATGCAAGGTCATGACAGACTGTCAGAGGCACAAAGAAGGTGAGCTGTGTGGGTGGGTCTTATTTATTTTGCTTAAGAGATAGGATGGGGTCTCCCTTTGTTGCCCAGGCTGGCTCAAGTTACCCTCCTGCCTCAGCTGCCAAGTAGCTGAGACTACAGGTGCCTACTTCCACACCTGGCAGAACTTGGACATCGGACACTTTTAATCTGACTGATGGAAAGCCAGGGGAGAGCGTTTGAGTTTTAATAAGAGCTCAGCAGTTGCTGGGGTGAGAATAGCATGGGAGTGGGGACTCCAGGCGGAAGGTGATTATTATAGTCCAGGCCCAGAGAGGATGGTGAGGTGGTGAAAAGGGACCCGATTCTGGGGTACATTTTGAAGGTAGAGCCATGATAGTCTTCATTCATTCACTCCTTCATTCAGTGGGGACTAGGTATTAGAGACGCAGGCTCTAATGTAGCTGAGCTCTTCTGCAGTGTTGAGTCTAACAGACACAGATAACCGATAAACTACCAGAATACAAGCTGGAGGCCAGACGAGCAGCACAGCAGCTGTCTTCCCTATGGTCTCTGAGGTCCCCAACCTTCTCCTGCCTTCTCCATCTCCCCAGCTATCCCAGCATCCACCCTGAGGCTGTCCCACCCTCTTCAGCACCATGCCCCTGACTCCTCAGTACTCAGCCTGCTGGCTCTCCTCCCTCCCCTTCTAAGCCTTCCCCCTGACCAGTCTATGAACTAGAAAACTTAGGCCACGAACATTCTTATTTAACAGAGAAGGCCGCTGAGCCACAAAGTGTTCTCACTGGGCCAGAGTTCAGGTCTGTAAAAACTTGGGTGGACAAATCTGAAGGAAAAACCTTAAAGGCACTGGATTAACAAAGAGAATTTTGGGTAAAGGCCTACAGAGGGAAGTGACTTGCTAGGGTCCTATCACTCCTTTGTGGAACTCCAGCCTGACTTCCTAACCTCCCATTCTGTGGTCCTTTTCTATAACTCTGACTTAGACCTTCTTGTATTTCATAGCTGCAGAATGAGTGCCTCTAGTTACACATAGAGTAGAACTGTTGGACAGGCAAAAAACCTGTAGAATATCTTTCCCTGGAAGGCTTTGAGAAAAGACATCTTGCTGGGCTGAGTTTTAGGTGTAGACGGACTGACAGGTAGAGTCCCTGCCCTCCTTCCTCAGACACAGACAAGCCAGGGCTCCCTGGCCAGCAAGTCTTTCTGGCAGACAAGACCTCTTGAGGGTGGCCTCTTAATTCAGCTCTGGCAGTGGGGAAAGGTCAGCCGGGGGGCCAGCCTGGCCCTGGCGGAGCTCTCTGGTTACAGCTCAGGTGGCACGCAGCCTGCTCGCCTCACCTCCCCCCTGCATCAGCAGGCCGGGCAGGCGGTAGTGCCCTCCAGCCCACAGGTGGAGCATGGAACCGGCAGCTCCTCTGCTCAAGTCCCCACCCTCTTCAGAGAGCTCTAATCCTACTCAGAGGTCAAGGTCTGACCAAGGCTCACCTGACCACCCAGTCTGAACACAGCCCTATCTCCAGCATGTGCTGGGTCCACCCTGAGGGCATGCGCCCCTACACTAAGTGGTGAGCTCTTTGAAAAGAGGGACCCCTCCCCACGATCTCATCTGCAATAATGAGGACGTGGAGGGCTCCTCGGTTGCCAGGGTCCTGTGGACACAGTGTTGGCCTCCAGGCAGGGGCCACAATCAGTATGGCCTTCTCACCAGTCCCAGTCAGCGCCATGAGCAGGAGAGGGGCTGGCTGTTTTTTTATTTTGTTTTGTTTTTTAGTGGTACAGGGAATGGAACCCCCAGCTTTGCTCATGCTAGGCAAGTGCTCTACCATTGAGCTACATCCACAGACAGGACACTTATAAGGTCCTGCTCATTTATGGAGGAAGTGGAAGCTGTGGGAGCCACAGAGAGGAAGGCCAGGCACGTCCCTGGAGCCTTCTAAGTATGCAGAGGTCCTGGGAAGAGGTGGGACAGAGGTGGCTTCAGACTGCTGTGGAGGACCGAGGCGATGTGGCCAAGATGGGATGAGGAACAAGGAAGGCTCTGGGGTATTGCTCAGGCCAAGTGACCAGTTTCCTGTGCACTTGTAACTACTTTGTTCTTGGGTCACCAACCTGCTCAGTGAGGCCACAGCCTCTCTTGCTGCTTGAGATCCCTGTGGTTCAAGGAGGACAGGAGGGAACCATGGAACCCTCACCTCAGCTCCCCACCCCAGGTGGGCAGAGGGGTGGTGAGGCCCCTCTTGCTTCCCTGCCTTTTGCACTTTCAGTGAGCAGCTATCTGTGTCTCTGCAGGTCGGAATGAGCTGATTGCCCGCTACATCAAGCTCCGGACAGGGAAGACCCGCACCAGGAAGCAGGTGGGCCCTGGAGATGGACATGGGTCTCAGGGGCAGGTTCCCCAGCTCCAGCCTGCTCCCAAGAGGGAGAGTGACAGGCCCTCTCCAGAACTGTGTGTGGACTGTTTGGGTGGGGTCCTGTTTTGCTGGGGTTCCTGCCCACTCACTTAGGAGGAAAGCCTCCTCACTGGGGAGTCAGAAGCCCCCTCTCTGAGACACCAGAAGAGGCTGCAAAACATTGGCACTGCACTTGTGAAGTACTGTTCAACTTGGGATCCCTGGGACATGTGACCTGAGGGCCCCCACTGACCCTTTCCTGCATTCAGTCCCGGCACAGATGTGAGTGGAGGGCTGAGGGCTGGGGGGAACACAGGCTGTTGCAAGGTGGGGACAGTAGCCCTTTCTCTGCCACAGGTTTCCAGCCACATTCAGGTGCTGGCCCGCCGGAAAGCCCGCGAGATCCAGGCCAAACTCAAGGTAAGAAAACAGCTGTACTGGGAGGGAAGGAGTGAGGCAGGCACTTGGGGCTCAGGTGGGGCCCGAGTCCCAGAAGTTGGAGCTTTCTGTCCAGCAGAGCAAGTCTCCCTTGCAGATTCAGGGGCTGCCTGTATGCTGAGCCCATGTACTCCCTGCTGTGAAGGACAGTCGGGTTTAGCCTATGACTTCTCTCTGCTGACCTCAGAGCCACAATGTGTATGGACACCAGGCTTCCTGTGTCCTGACGGGTGGGACTGTAGGCTTCTGCTGTATCCCACCCTGGCTTTAGCTCAGAGGAACTCACCTGGCTCCAAGCAGCTGCATCACCTTTCTTGAGAACTCCCGTGAACCTCTGGGTGCTGTCACCAAAGTCTGCAGAGATGGCAGAGCCTGGTGGTATCTTGGGAGGAGCTGGTGGAGTTCCTTCCTGTTCTCTGCTCTCTGGGACTGGAAGTTCCTTCCCCTCCCTGGATCTGCCCGCCTTGCAGTGCCTCTGCTGACAAGTGGCTGCTTTGCTGAGGGCCAACTACTGATGAGGTCCCCTCAGGAATTCAGGCCTCTGAGGACCCTGGGGCCCTGGGGCCTTTGGTGAGCATTAGGCAGGAGTGAGCTGTCCATCTGTCTATAGCAGAGCCTGCCCCGCCACTTGGAAGAAAGACCTGACCTGTGGACCATTGGATTAGAGTGGTAGTTTACAAACTTTTTTTTAAAAGCAATGAAAGCCTCTTTTATTTTTTTTTTTTTTTCCTTTAACAAACTCTCATTCCAGGGGCTGTCCACGTGGCTGTTGTAGTTATAACTAGGTTGGTGAGGAGTAGGCCAGAAACTCCTTCTCCTGTGCAGCCTCTTATAGCTACACGAGACCCTAAAGCACCTTGGAACCCACTTAGAAGCCTCTAGAACTAAATGATCTTGAGGATCCCATCTGGCCTCAGTGGTTCTTGACCTTGACACTGGCATCTCAGATTGAGTGGGTGAAACCGCAGAGCTCTCTGCCTCCTAGGAAGCCACACCCCACTGTCTGCCCAGTTCCATTCCCCCTGCCCTCAGCCCAGTTGTCCCTGTACCCCGCAGCTGTGGCCCAGCGCCTCACTCCTTTGTCCCTGGACAGCTGGCCTGGCTGCAGCTATGAGTCCCCATCCCCAGCCTTGGAGTCCTCCCCGTGTCCCCTCTCTAGTCTACCTCTGACTCACTGGGACCCTGGCAGAAGCAGAGGACACACTTTCTCTGTTACCTTTTTTTTGAGGTACTGGGGTTTGAACTCAGGGCCTCATGCTTGCTTAGCAAGTGCTGTACCACTTGAACCACTCCACTAACCCTTTTTTGTGGTAGATTTTTTCAAGATAGAGTCTCATGAACTATTTGCCTAGGCTGGCTTCAAACCCTGATCCTCCTGATCTCTGCCTCCCAAGTAGCTAGGATTACTGGCGTGAGCCACCAGCATCCGGCTCCATGTTACATTTTGACATTTTGAGTGTCCAGGGGAACATTTGATTCCTCAGGGCCTCTGTACCACCCATGTTTGCTTTAAAGAATCACATGTATCCTTGTCCATGAATTCTGACTTGAGGCCCAGGACAGCCTTCACTGGACTGCTAAACAAGCACCAAGGGGAGTCACAAGCCTCTTAAAATATGTGGATTTTCATGCTTCTGTATGTTTTCTTAGAGAGATTGGTCTGAGGATTTTGCCCTGGTAAAGGGTCTGTGACCCAAAGCCACTAACTCTGGGGTGGACAGCAAGGGCAGGTAGAAATCCTCAGGCCATGAGGCTTTGTTCTAGCCCCGCCTGTGGTCGTGGGCATGTGGCCAAGCCCCATCCCATTTCCTCATCTATAAAGTGACAGGGTGGTATGGCAGGTGATAGCTGAGGTATCACCTCCTCCAGTGCAAAATGCAGTGACTCCTTGGCTCTGCTGCTTGGTCTCTGATGTCACCCCCACAATGTCCTTCCCATGTCCTTCTGACTGCTGCCTCACCCACTGCGGATGTGTTTCCTGAACCCTGGCCGACTGTTTACATTGAGGATCGGGAAGAGACACACTGCTGCTGCAGAGCGGATGGAGCTCTCTGGCCTCATGATGCTGTTGTTAATCTCAGGTCCTAGGGGTACAGCCTGCCAAGTCATTCCTGTTCCCTGCAGGAAGAGGCCTGGGAGGGCAGGCTTGGGTTGGCTTTTCCTCCTGGAAGTGTGTGTGCTCCGGAAGAGGCACACCTAGACCTGTTACTTATCAGACGGCCTCTGAGAGCAAGGCCCAAGTTTGGCCCCAGGACAGTGGGGAGGGGCCACTGACAAACCTCATCTTCTTCTCTGCTCTGTCCAAGTGGAGGATGACCCCAGCATGCAGAATGCTGTCCATGATATGTGCTGGGGGCTGGAAGATCCTGACATGTCTCCCATTGCCTCCTTGGTTTGCATAGCCCCTCTGTGCTAACATGGAGTCTCTTAGTAATTTTCCTGTGGCTATAACAAAATACCAGAGACTGGGTAATTTATAAGGAATAAAACCAGACATGGTGTTTCACTCCTGTAGTTCCAGGTACTCAGGAAGCTGAGGCAGGAAGATCATTTGGGTTCAAGAGTTTAAGACCAGCCTGGGCAACGTAGTGAGATCCTTTCTCAAAATAACAATTTTTTAAAGAGGGCTGGGTTGTAGAGTGAGAACACTTGCCTAGCACATGCAAAGTCCTGGGTTTGATTCCCTAGGACAGAAAGAAAAAAAGAAGGGAGGGAGGGAGGAAAGAATGAAAAAGGCAGGAAGGAATGAACGAAGGAAGGAAGGAAGGAAGGGGAGGAGACGAGAGAGAAAGAAAAGTATAAAGAATAGCTGTTCATTTGGCTCAGTTCTGGAGGTTGGGGCGTCTAAGAGCATGGCACCCACATCTGTTTAGCATCTGGTGAGGCCTTGCTGCATCATAACAAGGTGGAGGGCACCACATTTAGAATGGAGAGACAGAGCAAGCTTGCTAGCTTGGGTCTCTTTTCCTCATCTTGTAAAGCCACTGATGGCCCATGGTGGCTGCATCCTCGCCTCAAGACCTCATCTACCCTCATCACCTCCAAGGCCTTGCCTCTACACACCATCAACCTTTGAATTTGGGGATTGTTTCCAACTCTTGAACTTTTAGGGGATATATTCAAGCCACAGCATGGTCCAACCTCTTAGGACCATCCTTTGAACCCAGGTATTTTTGTTTGTTTGCTTGTTTGGTTGGTTTGTTTTGGTTTTCATTTTGAGATGTGGGCTTTATGTTGTCTTGGCTGTTCTCAAATTCCTGACTTAAGACACTCTCCTGCCTTATCCTGCTGAGTAGCTGGGCCTATAGGAGCATGCCACATGATCGGGTCAAGTCCATCTCTCATTCATTAGCTCTATCGCTGTGTCCTTTCTAACTCACAGATGAAATTTTTCAGTCACCATTTGACTTCCAAATATAGGAAAAAAGAGATAAAGCTAAAGAATGGATTATTATTGTTACCTTCTATGGAAATCCAAGAAAATGGTCCAGATGTAATTATAACTCTTCACAGATTAGGGCTTCTGCTATGTCTCTATCAACTGTCATACTCAGGAAATGTCCACTCACCGTCTTCACCCTAGTCACCTAAACTCTGATCACCAGTTTCTTCACCTTGTAATGGGGATCCTACTTTTCCTCCATCCTCACAGGAGTCAAAGTTAGGTGGCATTCTCAGAAACTTCCCTGTGCTGTCTGTCGGGTCACGCACATGGAAACGCTCACCCTGAGTGGCTGGCTGGAGGGGTCTGTTCTGTTCCAGCTCCTCGGCTGCACAGCACTGGACTCTTGTAGCCTCAAGCCACACTGTAGCCTGCCACACAGAGCCGTTGTGTGGAGCCAGGGAGGTCATCCTGTGGGAGGACTATGAGCTTCGAGGATCTCCATCAGTTCTCAACTTTTGTATCACTCAGAGCAGACCTGGTTTACCAAATTAATTATTATTAACTATTAAATAATAGTTCATGGGTTTTTCCAATTTAAAAAGTTCATCCTAACTCCGGGTTCAACTGTAGAGCATGTGTGTAGAGAGCTTGAGGCCTGGTCATCACCAGCACCACCAAGAAGAAAAAGAGTTCATCGTAAAGAGACAGAATTTCCAGTCAGAGCTGCACACGTTGAAGAGTATTTGTGGTCCCAGTCTGAATGTGGGATCTTATTTTGGACAAAGATGCAATTCCCACTGGATTTTTGAAATTGAGAATATTGTCACATCAGTGTTTTGAAAACCCTCTGAGAATAGGAAGTTTAGGATGGGAACCACTGGCTTATAGAAGCTTAAGTTATTATTGATGGTGTTATTATTATTACTAGTTTTGGAGTGCTGGGAATCAAACCCAGGGCCTCTCAACATGTCAGACTGGTGCTCTATCACTGAACTACACTCCCTGCCTGAGACCCCTGTTCTTAAGGTAGAAGACAGAGGATACAGGGATGAGACTTGGCGGTAGGGTGCTTGCCTAGCATTCGAGAAGTGCTGGGTTCATCCCCAGTGCTTAGAGAGAGAAAGAGTGAAAGAGAGGAAGAAAGGAAGAGGAAGGAAAATGCAGTCTGCCGGACAGTCTCGGGTCCTTCACTCTGATGGAGTAGGCAGGGCAAGTGTTCTGCTGCTGTGACGGATGAGGAAACTGGTCAGAGAAGCCAAGTGGTGCTCAGTCACAAATGAGTTAACAGTGCTGCACGAACTTAGAACCTGGTCTTCCAGCTCTGGCCACTGTCAGTGGGACAGCTTCCCTGACCCGAAGGCTGGACACTGCCTCACCTGAGCCTAGCTGGTGCCACCTGCTGAGGTCCTCCCTTCCTGTGTCTCCCCAGGATCAGGCAGCTAAAGACAAGGCCCTGCAGAGCATGGCTGCTATGTCGTCCGCCCAGATCGTCTCAGCCACAGCCTTCCACAGTAAAATGGCCCTTGCCCGGGGCCCCAGCTACCCAGCACTCTCAGGGGTAAGTGGAGCAGCCCAGAGCTGGAGGCCAGCCAGCCTGCTCCCCACTCCTCCCCTTCTGCAGAGCTGGGAGCAGCCTCAAGTTCTTTTGTTTGAGTACTCCCAAGCCAGGAACGTCAGAGGTGAAGGGAACAAGGACCAGAGGCCGTCCTGAGTCACAGCTTGACTGGTGGAACCACCCTTTGGGGTCCTTGGCAGCAGCACAGCAGACCTTTAACAAAGGGAAGGGGCTACCCCCATTAGCTGACCAAATGAGAGCTGGCCCGATTTACAGATGAGGAAGCTGAAGTCCAGAGACTGGAGCTGAAGCCCGAGGCTCTGGCATAGCACTGGTGCGTCCCTCAGTGGCTGGCCACGATGGCCTTTTCCTCACTCCTGCTTGGGAGTCCAGCACTGCCCTCCTTCCAGGTGGAGAGTCTAAGGACCAGCTTCTCAGCCATGGCCAAGTTGGCCACACTTTGAGAATGTTCCAGGAATGCTCTCCTTTCCAGGGCTCTATCCTTAAAGGGTTGTCCTGACTGTAGGGACTAAACAGAACTTTAAGACACAACAACTGTATTGCCCCAGCTCTTGGGGAAGGGATGGTCCCCAAATTCTGGGCCTCTCACCCATCCTGTTGCAAAGTGTGTTCCAATAACACCACTCCATCAGTATGTTAACATGTAAAGCAAAATGATTGTGTGGACAAGTAAGTTTGGGACACCTGGAGTTAAACAGATTTCCTTTGGATGCTAGGAATTGAACCCAGGGCTTCCTGCATGCTAGGCACGTTCTCTGCCACTGAGCCACACCAGAACCTCTAGATTTCTTGACTCTAGGACTTTTCAGAGCCTTAGGTGGTGATGTGCACTCTGAATCTTCAGAGAAGGAAGGGTGTGCAAGCCAGGTTTTTCTCTTGGAGCAGCATCCTCTTGGCAGCCTTTGCAGAGACTAGAGTGCCTACACACACCCTTGAGGATTAGCTACATGTCTAGAATTAACCAGCTAGACATGACATCCACTCCCCTCCCACCTGCTGGGGTCGGGCATGCACCCGAGGCCCACTCTGGCTCTTCTACACTGTGGGCCCTGTGCACGCATGGCTTAGCTGACTCTGTACCTTTTGCCTCCACAGTTTTGGCAAGGAGCTTTACCAGGCCAAGCCGGAACATCCCATGAGTGAGTATGGCCTGGTTTCTGTTACCACTTGTTCCCTGAACCCAACTTGAGCCCATAAACTCGGGAAATGAGACTGGCCCTCTGGGTGGATAGGGCCACAGTCTGAGGTCAGCCTTTCAACACAGCCTTGAGCTTGGGGATTAGGCTCTGTTCCCAGGCATCATTCAACTTAGTGTGTATGCCCACACCCTGGGGTGCCATTCATCGAAGCTCCCATCCATCCAGGGTATTGGTGGGCCTAGAACTTGGGAGCCAGTGGGAAGGAGACTGAGAATCAGACATCTGGTTGACTTGGGAAAGGAGGGGGGTTGGATTTCCCAAACAGACATGCTGTTCCTGTGAATCAGCCATGAAACCTGAGGGAGTAAGCGGGGGAGAGCAAGGGAGGCCGAGGCCCATCAAGGCTGCCACACAGAGGGCCTCTGGCCCTCTCCCGGAGCTGATGCTTCTTTTCTCCTCTTTCCTACAGTGTGAAACCTTTCTCTCAACACACCTACACTGTCCAGCCTCCGCTGCCTCTGCCAGGTGGGTCAGCAGTGTGTGGCTCCTTTGCACCTTGCACCCCTGTAGCTCTTTCCCTGGTTCTAGGCTGCCAGCAGCTGGATGCCTGCATGCCTATCTTAGCTACCCTGTCATGTGCTCTGACCAAATATCCCAATGTCCTGGCTACCTCCCATTCCTTGCCCATAGCCTCCATGTGCCAAGCCCCTTCGTTCCTGAGGGATGGACTTGAGTGCTGTCCTTCCCAGCTGTGCTTGGGGCTGACCAGGACACACACAGTTGGAAGATAGTGCCTGTGCATCCCCTGGCCACCCTAATAGGTATCTATAATCCTGTCCTTCAAATGGGAGGTCCAGGAGCACCTGCTTCCACCCTGGCCCCTCCTAGCAGAGGGGAACCATGGCAGGAAGAGGCCTACAACAGGGATGGGCAGAGCAAGCTAGCCATGCAGGTCCATGGTCCCCCCCTCACTACTTGGGGTACCGGGTCTGTCCTGACCTCTCCTCACTTTGCTTGAAGAGTGACTGTGACGTTGTAACTCTGGCTCCTCAGGCTTTCCTGCCTCTGAAAGAAGCCCTGCCACCCCTGGTATCCAATTGCTGCTTTCTCTCATCCCTATCTTGACCATCACTGAGTTGAGTCCAGTTCCCATTCTCTGGTCCTCTTTTCTGTTCATGCTGGTGCAGGTTCTCCTCCTTCTTGCCTAGATTACTACAGTGGCTTGTTATGAGCTCCCTGTCTTCCCTTACCACCACCAACTCCCCCCCAACCCCCTTCTTGAGTCTCAAAGCGTTCATCTTGGACTGGGGTGTGGCTCAAGTGGTAGAGTGCCTGCCTAGCAAGTGGGAAGCCTTGAGTTCAAACCCCAGTACTACAAAAAAAAAAAAAAAAAAGTCCATCTCACCATGTTGCTTCCAGGTTTTTGTGGTCTGTGCTTCAGGAAACAATCTGAACTGTGCAATAGACTTGCTGGTTCCCCAGGAACCCAACTCTTTGTGCTCTCCCCAAGGTTTATCCCCACCCAGGTTAGGCGTCCCTGTGCTCTGTGCATACCTCCACCTAGCATGGGGTGCTCTTTTTGTTTTTGTGGGACCGGGGTTTGAACTCAGGGCTTTGTGCTTGCAAAGCAGGCACTCCACCACTTGAATCACCCCTTAAGTCCATTTTGCTCTGGTTATTTTGGAGATGGGTATCTCAGACTATTTGCCTGTTCTGGTCTTACACACAGTCTTCCCATCTGAGCCTCCTGAGTAGCTAGGATAACAGGCATGAGCCACCAGCACCTGGATCACAGGGTGCTCTTGGGTGGCATTTTCCCTGGGTCTGTGGCTGGTTTGTCTCTGCATCTTGTGTGGATGTGGCAGTTCTTTGGATGCAGTGAGTGGATAATTGAATGGTGAAGGACTCAGCAGATGCATCAAGCGACAGCTAATATGACCAGCCTGGTATTCCTTGTTGGTCTCCTCCACTTGCCCCTGAGTTCTCTGCCTCTGCTCAAGGCATCAGTGCACATCAGACTCCCAGATGTAAAAAGTGGGTTATCTGGAGTTCTTGGTGACACAGGCTGCTGCCACCAAGTGCTGATATTTCTCCCTTTGCATTGTTCCTGTGTCCTTTTCTCTTCATTCCATGGCCCTGCTTCACTTTCCACTTGGAAAACTGCCCAGATCTTGCTTCTAATGTTCCCCAACCCCTGCCCAGCCCATTTTCCACACTGGGGTAAGACAGTTCAAAAATGCAGGACCTAGGCTAGGCAAGATGGTACATGCCTATAATCCCAGCTACTCAGAGGTAGAGACCAGGAGGATTGAGATTTGAGGACAGTCCTGACAAAAGTTAACTAAATCCCATCTCAACCAATTCCTGGGTGTGGTGGTGTGCATGTGTGATCCCAACTGTGCTGGAGGCATAGATATAGGAGCAGCTCCATCTGAGGCCAGCCCTGGGCAAGACCCTATCCAAAAAATAACGAAAGCAAAACAGGGCTGGGAGCATGGCTCAAGTAGTAGAATATCTGCCCGGAGTTCAAACTCCGGTACCACCAAGAAAGCAGAGCGGGGTTGGGAATAAAGCTAGTGATAGAGTACTTGCCTTCTATGCTCAAGGCTTTGGGTTGCATCCAACACTGCAAGAAAAAAAAAAAAGTTTAAAAGTAGTTGCAGGGCTGACTCTTTTACAGTCCTGCCTCGCCTCCTTGACTTTAGGGTAAAGTCCACCCTGTGAAGTGGGCACCACAGGCTCTTGGTAGCCTTGTTTTCTGACATCAGCTTAGACCCCCTCTTCTTTCTACTTCTATCCCATGAGTGTCCACACTCAATCAGCAGGTCCCCAGCCCCACACCTTGCCCCTGCTGCTTCCCAACTTGGAAGCCTTTCCCTGGCTTTACTGGGGACTTCCTACTTGAACTTCATCACTTCTTTCAAACATTGCCTTCTTCCTGACCACTTCCAAGGCACTAGGAGCTGCTCTTTGATGCTGAGGGTCCTCTTTACTGATTTTCCTTCTCTTCATCCATTCACTTGCCAGCCACATTGGATGATGTGTCTTGCCTGGCTCAGGTCCTATGCTGAACCTGTCAGGAAACCTGCTCTCAGGGGTTATGCAGTATTGTGACCACTGATTCATCTGGTTGTCTTTCTGCCTGGTCTAGAAGTTGCTTGAGTGTAAGAGTCCCACAGTGTCTAGTCTGGCAGCCCTCCAGTTCAGCAGGCCCCCAGCCCCCACCAGGATGCATCTCCCTTGGATTTGGTTCTGCACAGAGGCCCTGGCTAACTGGGTTATATTGGCAGTCCCCTGTGCATCCAGAGCTGCTGCTGGGCGTCCTGGCCCTTGCCTGCTCCCCCATACCCCTCTGTCTGGCTTTTGTGGGCGTCTGTGGGCTGGTTCCATATGCCTCTCCCACCTGCATGCAGGGTTTGAGTCTCCTGCAGGGCCCACCCCATCGCCCTCCGCGCCCCCAGCACCTCCGTGGCAGGGCCGCAGTGTGGCCAGCTCCAAGCTGTGGATGTTGGAGTTCTCTGCCTTCCTAGAGCACCAGCAGGACCCTGACACGGTAGGCACCTCAGTCCTGGAGAACCCCTATCCTGCCCCTCCAGCACTCCCTCCACTTTCCAGCCTTTCTTGCCTGTTGTGCCCTGCTCCACTCTATGGCTTAATTTCTGTACCTTGTTCCTATTCAGCCTACCCTCCCTTTCCTTTTTTCCTTCCTCCATTTTCCTCCTCCCACTTTCCCTGGCACTCTGGTGCACCCACCCAGTCCTCTCAACTCTCCTATTCTTCCTCCCTCTCAGCCCAAGGTCCTCTCTTCCTGCCCTGCTCCACACCCTTCCCTCCTCTCCCTGACTCTCAGGGGCTGACAGGAAGCCGAGGAGCCTCCTGTGTCTGATCTGCATCCTCTGGCATACCAGCAGGGGGCATGGCCACCTTGGCCTATCCCCTTGCAGTGTCCAGTGTCCTGGGTGACCAGCATCACCTGCCAAGTCCTGACACTTAGAGGAGGCCTGAGACCATCTCCTTTCGGCAGGGAGGGAATCATTAATCAAACACATGCTTCCTCAGAAACCCTGTGTGAAACAAAATTAGACCTGCCCTATCTCCATTTTCCCAGTGGGGAAGCTGAGGCCTGAGGGGTGAAGTGATTTGCCCCAGGTTACACAGCAGGTGGGCACCAGAGCTGGGCACTCTGCTCATCTTCCTTGCTTCTTCAGCATCTCTCTCAGACTCCTCTGCTCTCTGCAGTACAACAAGCACCTGTTTGTACACATTGGCCAGTCAAGCCCAAGCTACAGCGACCCCTACCTCGAAGCTGTGGACATCCGCCAGATCTATGACAAATTCCCAGAGAAGAAGGGCGGCCTGAAGGAGCTCTTTGAACGGGGACCCTCCAATGCCTTTTTTCTTGTGAAATTCTGGGTAAGTCCTCACCCCAGTACATAATGGTGCTGAGGCGAGGAGGGTAGAGTGGGTAACAGGTGCCCTAGCCACTGGGAGGACAATGCAGAGGAGAGAAGAGCAAGCGTGGAAGGGCCTCTGTTGGTGGAGCCCAGTCCAGGAGTAGGGCTGTGATGCCAGAGAGCGGGATTGTGGAAGAAGACCCCTCCCTCCCTCCATCCTTTCTTCCCTTCCTTCCTCCATCTCTTCCTCCCTCCTTCTATCCCTCCTTCCTTCCCCCTCTTCTCTTCCCTCCCTTCCTCTTTCTTGTGTTTGAGATGGAACCCAGGGCCTCATGAATGCTAGGCAAGAGCTCTATCACTGAGCCATACACCAGCGCCAGCTGGCTTCTTTTTCTACCTCCTACCAGGAGGTTCTAACTCTTACTTGCTCCCTGGTCACTTTGGTAAGCTGAAGGCTTTACTGCATTAGAAAGGGCACATTTGCACAAGAGTTTGTGTAGCATTCCAGGGGGCTTTGAGGCCCAGCTCTCACCCACAGCTAAGCCCAAGGCTGGCTCTCTCCAGAAGAGTCCAAGTGCTCACACAGAGACCCCGGCCCAATCGTCAAGTTGCAAAACAGCTGGTTCTACAAACAGGATGAAAGTCAGACCTGGCGGTAGGGGTGGGGAGGGTCTACTAGGCAGAGAGAAAGGTTTTCTAGCCTGGGCAGTGTGTGAGTGGTACAGGCAGAAGGAAGGAGGGAAGGTGTGTAAGAGGGGACAGGGAAAAACATAACTGGAAAGGTGAGTTGGGTCTTGGAAGGGCCTGATCAGACGAAAGTCTGGGCTTTAATCTCTTCTGGCATGGAAAGTAAGTAGCATTTTCTTTCACCTGACTTTTTTTTATTTTGATGCTGAGGATGGAACCCAAGGCCTTTGCACCTGCTCAACCAATGAGCTGCACCCCCAGCCCAGCCCTGTGATCTGTTTAGATGGATGCATTTCATAGTGATGTTGTTAACACCATGATGGGTTCTTGTTCTACTCCTCCCCACACCCTAGCCCCAAGCTCCAGAGGAGACTGAAGGAAATTTTAACTGTTCATTCTGGGTTTTAACTCCTGAGTTCTAAAAGTGCTTTATATTGCTGTATCTTAAATATTTATTTCATTGTGTTAGAAAATGTTAGGCTGTGGTGTCACTTTCCCCCTCACCATCTAACGTAATCCTACACAGTAAGTCATATGTATGTCTTCAGAACAGCAATGTATATAATGTTCATATTTTTTGGCAATGTAGATGGATCACCAAAAAACCAAAAAGTATATAAAGAATTACATTTCACATTTTGTGCAACTTTTTGCTTTTTCTTAAAAATTAAATGACTTTTTCTTTCATACTTTTTTGTGGTAATGAGATTTGAATTCAGGGCCTCTCACTTGCTGGGCAAAGTATGGTACCACTTGAGTGACACCCACAGTCCTTTTTTTACTTTATTTATTTTTCAGGTAGGTTCTTGCTTTTTTGCCTAGGGCTGGCCTCAGACCACCATCTTTCTACCATGTAGAAGGGATGACGGGCACATACCCACGCCCAGCTTGTTTTTGCCTGGGCTGGCCTCAAACTGCAATCCTCCAGATCTTTACCTCCTGGGTAACTGGGATTACAGTGAAGAGCCACGGCACCTGGCTCCTCCCATGCTTTTAAATAACTTACTCTTAAAATTTTACAAATTGCTCCATCAGAACTATCATATAAAACTGAAAAAAAAATGTTTTTCCAAAGTTGAAACCTTTTTTTTTTGAGACATGTAGCCCAGAGCTGGCCTGGAACTCAAAATCCTTCTGCCTCAGCCTCCTAAAGTGCTGGAATTACAGGTATGCACCATCATGCCCAGCTCTCACAAGTTCAAACCTGTTAAGTGATTAGCTCTTCCTGTGTTCCAGAGGTCTTCCTCTTGGTGCCTCTGTTTTCCTACTCCAGTTGGAACTGGTTCCTCTCCAGCTGTCATCCTGAAACTCCCTATATTCAATCTACACTTTCCTAGATCATACAGTTCTCGTCTTTATTGGTATACCTCCCTTATTTTCCTGGAGTACATCCTATAGTACCTTCTAAAACATGGTATGTAAATGACCTTGCCTATTTTGAAATGTCAGTTTTTATATCATTGTACTTGATTGATTGGTAGGTTGCGTAAATAATCTAGATCATAAGCCATTTTCTCTAGAAATGATTTTTTAAGAGCTATTTTATTTATGTATTTTTTAGTAGGACTGGGGTTTGAACTCATGCTTGCAAAGCAGACACTCTACTGCTTGAGCCACACCTCCAGTCCATTTTACTCTGGTTATTTTGGAGATGGGGTCTTGTGAACTGTTTGCCCAAGCTGGCCTTGAACCCTGATCCTTTCAATCTCAGCCTCCCTGGTAGCTAGGATTACAGGTGTGAGCCTCTGGTACCTGGCAATTTTTAGGACTCATTAATAGTACAAGGGAGTTGCACTGTGAAGATTTCATAGGTGGTATGATGAACAAACAAGCTCTCCCCTCCATTGTATTCCCTTAGCCCCCCCCTCAGCCCCTCACCCCCATCTCGTCCCCACCCCCTTTTCAAACAGTGTTGGCAGGTTTCATTGTGGTGTCTTCATACATACACACGTAATGTACTTTGAACCTCTTCCTCTCCCTGTAGAAGTTTCTCATTTTCAAGAGCTCTTGTTCTGTTTGTTTTCAGTTCTGGAACACTTTTCTTTTTTTCCTTTTGAAAGAGTCTTTTGATGTAGCCTGGGCTGTCCTCAATCCTACTCCCAAATGCTGGGATTACAGGCGTGCACCCCCACGCCTGGCATTGCCTTACGGTTCTTGGGGCTATTGAAGTGAGAAATTTTTTTTAACAACTTTGTTGCAATATAATTAACTTGCTGTTCAACTCACCTAATTAAGTATACAGTTCAGTGTTTATTCAGAGAGCTGTGTAAGCCATCACCACAGTCAATTTTAGGATATTTTTGTTGCCTTTCAAATAAACTCCCCACTGCCATCCCTGTGCAATAATCTTCTTTCTGTGTCTGAAGTTTTGCTCTCCTGGGCACTTCCTGTACATGGCATACAACATGTGGTCTCTGTGGCTGGCATCTTCTAGTTAGCTTCATGTTTTCTAGGTTTAGTTATGTTATAGCATGAATCAGTACTTTGTGCCTTTTGATGGTGACATAATATTCCTCTGCTCATCAACAGATGGGTATTTGAGTTCTTTCTGCCTTTTGGCTGTTCTGAATAATGCTATCGTGAACGTTCATGTACACATCTTGGCACAGATACGTTTTCACTTCTTTTGGTGATACACTTTAGCATGGAATGGCCGAGTCGGATGAAGATGCTTTAACTTTTTAAGCCAATGTCAGACCATCTCTCAAAGCCCCTCCCCCACCCCTGCACTGTGTTCCATTCTCTCCCGCAAAATGTGCGGTCCTGGTTTCTGTGTGTCTGCACGACACTTTGTTCTCTGACTGCAGCCATCCTGGTGGGTGTGAAGCAGTGTCCCATGCTGCTGAACATCCTGTTGGTCATTTGCATGGGTTCTTTATAGTCTAGGCAGAAGACCCTTACCAGACAGGTGCGGCATTTGCAGATACCTTCTCCCATTCTGTCAGGCTTTTTTTTTTCTTTTTGACAGTATTGGGGTTTGAACTCAGGGCCTCTCACTTGCCAGGCAGGGGCTTTACCTCTTGAGTCACATGCACAGCCAGTTTTTTTACTTTCTTAATAGTGTCTGCTGAAGCATGAGGATTTATTCTTTCATTTATTCGGGGGTGGGGATGAAACCCAGGGTCTTATCAGTGCTAAGCACACACTTTACCACTGAGCTACTCCCCTAGCCCCAAGAGGCTTTAGTTTTGAGAAAGTCCAAGGCATCTACTTTTCTTTTGCTATTTGTTCCCTTGCCCACGTGTAGCCATGACTGCAGCTTTAGTGCAAAGTGGGCTTGTGGCCTGGCAGGCCCGATGTTTTATTGGGGAAACCAAGCCTACCAGTATATTTCCCCTGGGATCATTCAGTATCCCCAGTTTCTCCAGAAGGGAACTCGAGTGGGGTGCGGGTGGTAGGGTGAGGGGTACTGAGGGCCTGATCTTTTCTGCTTCTGGCTTTCACTTAACCCTTCAGTCCCCATCCCTTCTCTTCTCCCTCTCTGGCATGCCCAGTGTCTGTGAGTTGTGGACCCTCCTGTTTAATTTCTGACTTACTGGGCTGTGGTCTTTGGCCAGTGCACAGAGGCTGGACCACCTACATGCAGGCTTCTGGTCAGGCCCTCTGTTGTGATCTGTCCCTCCCCTGTCCCTCCCTGAGCCACCAACTCAGCTTGCTCTGTACCTGGAACCTTCTGCCTCCTTTGCCCTGCGCAGTCCATGCTAGCTCCAGTCAGCCTCCAGTGTTAAGTATCTTTGAGTTCGCCCGTCTGGCCTCCTCTCCCTTGTCTTCCTCTTTGTGGTGTAGCACAATTTAGAAAGTTCTTTGCTGTTTCTTAACCATTCTTATTGGATCTCTGGAAGGAGAAAGATGAACTTGCATGGTCAGATTTCCAGCTTTAACCTGATATCCAGGAAAATGAGCGTAACCCGAGTGTCACTGCCAGTGGTTTGCCAGGTGCTATTGAGAAGGAAAAGTGCTCATGGACTGGCTCTCTTAGCACGGCGTGGGGGCTGCTGGGAAAATCACGGCTTGTTTATGATGTATTTGTCTTTAGGTAGTGAGAATCAGTGAAGTTGTGTTTGTTTGGTTGGTTTGGTTTTTGAGACAGGTTCCACTATTTAGCACAGGCTGGCCTCGAACTCCTGGGCTCAGTAGGCTGTTAGGATGACGGTGTCCTACCATGCCCCACTAGCTTGTTCTCTAAAGACTATTGAAGAGGCAGACGAGGCCAGAGTTTTGCTCAGTTGGGAAAATCAGCCATGCAGACCATAAACAAGAAGACTCTTGCAATACAGGCCATATAGGAGACTCTCTAGAGCCCAGCTGGTCTTGGGCTGACAGAGAGGCTCA